AGTTGGGCAGCGCACTTCACTCAAGAGGCCCATCTTCACATCGTCAGGTCAGTTCTGCCATCGCAGCCCTGGTGCCTCGACAAGTGCCCGGGCCCCGACCTGAGCGTCGAGGACGCGAAGGTCCTGTACATCGACAACTTCGCGGCGACGTCCGAGTCAGCCGACCGCCCCGCCACGGTCGTCGCCGACATGCAGGCGGCACTGGCCGCCAAGGGCATTGTCTTTGAGCCCGATCCCGCCCCCGGCGAGCGAGGCGAGCTGCTTGGCTGTGAGCTCAACCTGCAGACGGGGCGCTCGTGCGTGCTTGACCGCCTGCTGTGGCGGGCCCATGGTGCATTCGAGCGCGTTCTTGCAAGGCGAGTCAGGATCTCGGGCCAGGAGCTCGAGCGCCTGATCGGCCACATCGTCTCCATTATGATGCTGTGTCGTGAAGGGCTGGCCATGTTGCGCTCCTTGCATGAGTTCGCGCAGGCCTCCTACTCCAAGAGGCGGCCTCTCTGGAGGAGCCTGGCCCGCGAGCTGGGCCGGGTCAAAGCGCTGCTGCCGCGACTCTGCGCAGACGCCCGTCGCGCGCGGACCGAGGTGGTCACCTGCTTCGACGCGCCCCCCTGGGGCCAAGGCTTCGAGGAGACCAAGAGGGGCCTGGAGGACGCGCAGCGCGTCGGCCGACTCTCCGAGCGATCCCGCTTCAGAGGCGCGCTGGCCGCCGAAGGTTCCCCCCGCAAGAGGGCGCTGGAGCGGGAGATCGCGCGGGCGCCCGAGCCTGCCCCCCTGCTTGCTGGGCGCTCGGCGGGCTTCCCAGAAGTGGACTACGGCAAGATGCGCGCCAGGCCCCGGCGCGTGGTCGGTTGCGGCCGCTTAAAGCACGGGCTCGAGGGGGCCGCTCTGACCTGGGCCATCCGCCGTGCCGCTAGAGACGCTCGGCAGCACTGTTCGTGCATGCTTTTTCTTGGCGATAACATGATGCTCACCCTTGCTGCCGCCAAGGGTCGCGCTGCCAATCGTAGTCTTTTGGAAGTCTATCGTGTCTTGTTCGCCGTGGGGGTTGCTGGTGACATGAAGTTCCAAGTTGGGTGGCTCCCCTCAGAGTGGAAACGGAGCGATGGCCCCTCTCGCCGTTTCCAGCCCCAAGCTCGGGGCGGCCCCAGCAGCGACACCCGCGCGGGCGGCGACCGCGTGAGAGACGATGGAGGCGGCGATGCTGCGGGCGGCGCCGCCCACGCCGACGGCCTCAGCGAGCTGCCGCTCTGGCCCTCGCGCGCCGAGCAAGCGCAGCTCGAGCCGTTCGCTGCGCCCAGCGACCAACCGAGTCCAGGACAGACCAAGTCGGGACGTGGTGCCGGCGCTGGCCAGGCCAGGGAGCAAGCCAGGCTTGGCCGGGCGTCGCGCAAGGCTTGGCCGCGATCGTTCGCAGAGCGTCTTCGACCTGAAGCGGCACCAGCTATGCCCTCGCCAGACCCGCCTGGCAGTCGCGAAGGTGAAGCCTCGCGCGCAGGAGCTCTACCTAGGGATGATCCTCGGCTTAGTGCGCCGGCTGGGCTTGGCCTTCCTCCGGAGTGGCCGCGCCGCACCTGGGGCGAGATGCTGGCGGAGCATGCCGAGGCGATCTACGACCGCGGAGGCTCAAGTCGCCAACCCAGCGGGTGGCGCCGGCGCCGCTTTGGGCCGAGCCAGCCCTCCACCGAGCTGGGATCCGCGAGGTCTCCCCCCCGACGCACCAGACGCTCAAGGGCTGGAACGTCCTCGAGCCGTCCGAGTCGAGGCCGCCCGCCCCGTTTCTGGTGGTGCTGGCGGCGGCCTGCTGGCTGCGCCGAGCTGGGAAGCCGCTCAGTGGCTTGGCCGTCCTGATCATGTTCGAGGCCCACATGCGCCCTTCGGAGGTTCCGGCTCTGCGAGCGAGGCAGGTCGCCCTGCCACTGCCGAAGGAGGGAAGTCCATCGGTTTTCTTGACATTTGTGGTGAGAGCCTCGGAGTACGAGACACCCACCAAGACCAACGTGCACGACCTCTCGATGCCGCTCGACCTACCGAGGCACCAGTGGATGGTGGATCGGATCTCGTTCGTGCAGGCCCTTCGCGGGCCAGACGCCTGTTCCTGGGGCTGAGCTACGCCGAGCTGGCGGAGGACTTCCAGAGGGCGGTCGCGGGGCAGGACGTGAGCTTACTCAAGCCCAGCTTCTACTCCCTCTGGCATGGCGGGGCCAGCCACGACCGGAGCACGGGCGCCAGAAGCTTAGGGACCGCGCAGCAGCGAGGGGGATGGGAGGCGTTCGAGTGAGTTGTCCGCTACGAGAAGCACGGACGCCTCTCGCTGGAGCTTCGCAAGCTCAGCGACAAGCAGGGCGAGGCGCTGAGGGCAGCTGGCAGGGACTTCGCGGTCGTCTTCAACAGGTCCTTGGCGCTGCTTTCGGAGCGCCCCCCGCCAGGCCCGCGTGCGCGTGGAAGCCTTCTCTGGGCGTGGTGAGCTGAGCAAACGTCCGACGCGGAGAGGCGAGATTCGGCACGGGGACTATGTCGATCTTACTCGCCCTGGGGTCTGGAAGACCCTCGAGGGCTGATTGACTTCGGGGCTTGTGAAATTCGTTTGTCTTGGGCGCCCTGTAGCGGGGACGCAGGGGCCCGTCGTGCCCCTGCGTCTACTTCGGCTCCTAGGAGCCCCGCCGTTCCTCTAGGGATTCCTGGCCTCGCGGGTAAAGACCTCGAGAGCTTCAAGGTGTCCGACACGGTAGGATGGATCTCACAGCGAATTCAGCGTCTCTGCTACAAGTTGAATAATCCTGGCGGCGAGGAGAACCCTTGGCAAAGTTTCCTATGGCTTCGCCCCGACCGCCATTCATTCGCTAAGCTGCCCGATGTTTGCGTTCAAGTCATCGATTGTTGTGGTTGTGGCCGCCCGTTTCGAACGCGCACTCGCATGAGGTTTTGGAAATGCAGCCCACATCTTGGTTTAGACAATTTAGTGTGCAGAGGCAGAGGGGTGTGCTCATTCTCGGGAAGTCCCCACTTGGAGCTCACCGGCTCTTCTGGAGGTGCTTTTAGCACCTTGCTGCGGAACGCTTGCCCTCCTGCCCTCTCCGCCTTTCTTGTTGACGCACTGCGCAGGTTTTCCATGACACAGCAATCCGCCCAAAGATGGAAACACATGCGGGGCGAGGCCCCAGTACAATTCTTGAGTGATGGTGCTCGTTTCTGTGATGAGATTTGGCAATTGTGTCGCAACAAGCCAGCCCAGCTTGCCCGTGCTTCGAATCCTCAAGCAGTCTGAGCCTCTGGCAAAATACAGCGATCATGAAAGTGACCCACGAGAATGATCGTAAATGTCTGCCGCCTGGTATGCTCAAGGCATTTCTTTCGGCCCGCGCCAGCCCAATGCTTCGTTTTCCTGGCGCCTTGAGCAATTCTGTGTCGCAGCAAGCCAGCCCAGCTTGCTCGTGCTTCATAGGAATCCCCGATCAGTCTGAGCCTCTGGCAACATACAGCGATCATTATTGGCGTTGTTGAACTATCAGTTCTAAGTAATGATCGTGGTTTGCCCCCCTTCCGATCACCATTAGACTTTCCAAATTAAGTGTTCACACCGGGGCGCGCTACCTGATGTTATTACGCAAAGTCTGGTGTCACCGAACTGTGTGGTTGGGCGATTGTTTACAACAACGGCGGCTCCCGCCCGATATTTCGCCACAGTGTATTCCGAAATCTCGTTTTCGCGTGGAAATCCCCTACAATGTATCAGGGATCGCGCTCTCGCGCGGGAATCTTTTTGCAATTTACTCAGACGCCGCGCCCTCGACACTCAGGAATCACGCTTTCGCGCAGGGTTCTCTCACGATTTACTTGGGTTATGGCGCAATCGCTCGAGACTTCCTCGCTAGTCATGCAGGACTCACGCTTCAACAACTCGCCTGCTCGACCTGACCGCCTGGGCTGGCCTGCCCGACCCGCCCAGTTGGCTCTACCCGCCCGATCCGCCCGTCTTGTTCATCCACGTGGTTTCTGCTCGTGGTGCCCTTCTTGTTGAGATGTCTCGTGTTCCATCCTTCTCCCTCCGCCTTCCATCCATCCTCTCCTCTCCTGTTTTAGGGGCTGCCCTACATGCATATGGCTGGTACGGAATAGTATCCCCAAAGGAGGTACGATCGAAGGCGAAGAGGGCGGGTACGGAGGGTTCGGGATATACGCGTTGAGTGGCACGCGAGCAGATATGAACGAACCGTCTTGAAATCATTGTTTCAGCTGTTTGTTGTTTTCGTTTCGTGCTCTCTCTATATATCTGTATAAATATGTATATATATGTATATATATATATATATATATGTACATCTCCATCCTGGCACGTTCTGGAAAGAGCCTCGCCCTCGGCGGGCCTTGCCTTCGCCAGCAGCCTGTGGGAGGCTGGCGGAAGGCGGCGGGATTACAGTGGAGGCGGTTCTTTTGGCGGAGTGGCCCTTGAGAATGAGGAGGACGATGGGGTAGGCATAGGTCGCCCTCACCCTTACACTTTGGCATGTTTCTGGGCCTCTGCAGGCCCCCAGAGTCCTCACTGGTATCCCGGGACGCCGCCGTGTCCATCCCATCAGGCAACGTATGTTCAACGTTGATACTGCAAACCGCGACGTGTTGTTTCACTGTGGGGAGCCATGCCTCGAGGCCGAGGGCGTCAGTTTTCAGAATCGCGAGCCTGCGCTGGGGAACCATCCGTTTTTGTTGTACGGTTTCGTATGCGATTCGTAGTGCGACCACGTTCCAATGCGTCGAAGGCGACCTGCCGCCCACGGCGACTTGTCGCCGCCGTTTCATCCACGTCGCTTGCATACAGCATGTGCGTTGTTCTCCCCTGGCAGGGGGAGAACAAGTAGGAGGAGAAAGAGGAGGAGGAACAAGATGATGAGGAGGAGGAGGTCGCCGTGTGGGCATGCTGTTGTTGCCTTGGCCCCATTGACCGTACGCCGCCGCGTCCGCTTCGGTTGCCCTCGGCGTCTCCCGTCCCCCAGGCGGCGGGG